TGAAGTCTTGAGCCAACTAGTAACATTTGAAGCACATTATTTGTCATTTCAGAATTTACTTGTGATTAAAAGCATATTCATCCCTATCAAACTTAGTATTTTGCTAAGCCTAACGTGCCCACCCATTTGTCCCGCTGAACTACCAGTGTCTAGTTTCTACGGTATCAAACTGGGCACTAAAAACACTTTTTCTGTTGTCAATACAATTAAGATTTAAAACACCTAGTAAATCTTAGGTAATCCATCAACCAAACTCAGGGGTAAATAAAATTCTATTCCATTTTTTTTACTACTCACCCCCTGAGATTTTAAGGCATAACAAACCTCTGAATCATTTTAATTTTTGTCCAACTTTTGCAAGGACTTCTTCTTCGCATCTGGAATGATAACTGGCGTTATCCATCATAATTAATGATGGTTCTTCCAAGCTAGGAATCAGCTGGGTCTTAAACCATTTTTCGAAATTGATTGTGTTCATGTTATCATGATAGTCACCACTCTTAATTAACCTTTTGAAAATCAAACCACCATCTTGAATGAATTCATTTTCATTTCCTGCGTTAACGATAATATATCTGATTCCATCTCCTGATTTTTTGCTTGCAGTATCCATCGTCACGTCTTGCCAAGATTTTCTATTTCCACCCTTACTGAAAATCCAAGTCTCATGAATAAAAACTGGCTGGAAATGCTTCAAACTCTTCTCTCTGGAATGACGTACGCTTGCCTGCAATTGATGGTTGTTCTACAAGAAACTGCCTATTATTGCTTTTCTTGAATTTGGATCCAATTTTGCGAATCCAGGTATTCACTGATCTTGGTGAACAAGGAAAATCAGGCCATTCTTCAGTGAAACGCTTATGGAGCGATTTTATTGTAACATGTACTTTTCCAACATACATCTCATGAACAATATCACTAAGAGCCTGTAAAATTGTGGGATTTACCTTTTTTTTATTTCTTCGGCCTTTTTCGAAACTGTTTCTGCATAAACAGCATCAGAGTTTGTTTGCGAATTCTTGATCCGATAAATACTCCTTTTTGAAATATTCAAAGCTTCTGAGGCAATGCTGACAACATTCTCTCTTTGAACTTGGCAGAAATCATCCTGTTTTTCAAAATACGCGATCACACTCAGAATCAATGTTTTAGATTTTAGATTGATCATTTCGTTCCACTATTATGATATAAGGAATTCGAAACATTATTGATGCATAACCAGTACTCTAATTATTTGACATCAAGTCACAGTTACAATTCAATGATCAAAATATATGAATCAAGTTCTGATGTTCCATTTTCTAGTGATTTTCTATCTCATTCAGCTTGCGATAAATAAAAAGAAACAGATTTTGACTTGGTGTATTTCCACGACTATAAATATATTCCATCATAGCATTTGTCATTTTAGCTAGATTTTCAACGTGTTGTCCCTTGTACCTACATGAATTTTTACACCCACCTGAAATGTTCAATGAATTGTGTATCTGAATATAATGGCAAAATCTCCTCAACATATCCTTCATTTTTCGGTTTATTTAACAGAAGTTCGGGAATTACAGGTTCGGTACAATATTTTTAGAAACTTCAGCAAAGAATTCCTCACCATTGCTTCCTGAGGACGATGCAGAACTACTACTATCAAATAAATATACTAACTCCAGATTATTGAGAAGATAGTAAAATGAGCTATAAACAGCAGAATAAACAAAAATATAGCGTTATGTGATATGTGACATGAATGACGTTACAACAGAATCGAAAACTAATGAATGAAAATGAGCATGCGCCAAAAATAATCCCAGAACGGATCACGCTCAAGAGCAACAGAATGAAATGTATCAATTTAGTCACAAAATTCAAGAGTTAGCTGAAAGATAGTTATTTAACCAACTAGTGTATTGATCGCCTTTCAATATACGAATTGGTTACAACATTTTTCTGTCGACTATATTTTTAATTCGTCCTGCAATGAAGAAAACTTGGTTCGCGAATTCATTTCATTCATCCGGAAACTACTAACAATTGTCCAATAGTGACATTAGTGAGATTTAACATTTGTTGAAATAATCAACATAGAAAATAAATTCAATATTTTACGAAACAGGGATTATAATATATTACAAATTATAGCATAAACATGAATGGCCGCGGTGTACGTTTGGTTGCGTATATAACAAATTGATCAATAATAGAGGTCATTAACGATAATTTCATAAACATTAAACTTACTCATTTATACGAGGTCGACAAAAAATATATTTTATCAATTTGAATCTGTTCTTTATATTGATAAATTTCGATTTAACTGTTCATCTTCCATTTTATTGAATATTCGATCTACTTTTCTTGTGTCCCTCCATAAACATGTATGTTTCTTAGGATCAATGATTAATGTTATTATTAAATGAATTTTGCATTCCTGCACGTTTGTTGACATTTGTAGCGAATGTCTTTGATAATCGGAAAATTGGATGACCTTCAGCTGGTATGATATGCGTATCCAAGCTGAAATTTCCAACATGGTTTGGATGGTTTGTGAAAATACCTAACAGAAAAATCTTTGGCAAAAATCCGCAAAAATACCGCAGGTAGAAACGTACCTCCTCCATTTCGGACATTACCATTGCCTGCCGGAGCTTCTCCAGCAACGCCTCCTTGGGCGCCGGATCCTTGAACCTAACTCGCGCGCACGAATTTCATAATGAAAATGTGAGCATACCATTATTTATCGCGATATTTCACGAGAAAGTTCGAAATTTCATCTTCTTTTTCAGCCTGTCTTCGATACGCATCCACAACTATTCGCACTTTGTTTCATCCTTGGACACTTAATATACTCACAAATGAACTTCAAAGACATTTTATGTACGAAAATCAACTATAGATATGATTTTTTTGAGATTTCTCCATATTTACTGAAACTCACACCAGCTGACGGCCATTCAATTATCATAAACATACCGTGCATGTCAAATATGCAAGAATTCACTTTCACTGTGCAAAAACGGTCAGACCTTGAATAGGAACAGAAACCTCGATATTTCATGTCACAAATACAATAATTAAATCGCTTGATGACAACAAAGAAACTATAGGAATATTTCTAGATTTGAAAAGGGCTTTTGATACAGTTTCTCATGACATTCTTTTTAGAAAACTACGAAATTGTGGCATGAGGGGTAAGAGTTTCGACTAATTGAAAAAGTTGCTTTTGGGAATGAGAACAAAACACATCTTATTTGTGCTGTTCCTCAAGGAACTGTTCTAGGTCCAATTATTTTCCTCATTTATATTGATGCCAAATCAAAAACAGATATTGATGGCCAGCGTAGCCTCGTGGTTAAAGCGTCAACGTTCTATCCCCGTTGGATTACCGGTAGTGGGTTTGATTCCCACCACGACCGCAGAAATTTTTCTGATGGCCTAAGAAAGTGGGATCACACGTTAAAAGCACAAATATTTCGGAGAACATTAAGTTACATGGCTTTCCAAAGGATGAAACATCATACCAAACTGCTCTTTTTCGAAAAGTTATATAAACAATTGATCACTTTACTCTCTTTTGTTCAGTAGGGTGTCATGATTCAGACAATGATTATTTTTTTCAACACTAATATCGAGACTAATATTCTAATTCACTCCTAGAACACAAGACAATTAATTCAGTCATTATGTATGTACACTGTACAGGGTTATCCATCGAAAAGGACCACCTCTATATTAAAGTTTTTTCATCAAGAAAAAAAAAACAATATGCGGAAGTTGGATGCCCATCAATGAGGCCTTTCGACACTTGACTCTTCTAATGTTGAATAAAATGTATTAATATGCATTGACCTCGATTTATTTTTAAGAACATCCTAATTCCATTGGGCATCGTGGGATGCTCCCATTCCAAAAGTGTGATGCTTTTCACTAATTTAATTTATTTACAATAAAAAAAAATCAGATAGTCTTTCTGTTATTTACTTTCATTTTATACCAGTAAAAATGGATGAATGAATAAACCTCACACCTGTCAAGTCTTCAATGTGTTCAATTAATTCCTCTCAAATATTTCTTACATATTGTATTATTTCACAAGTTTTGTAAAATAAACTTGAGAATCAAATATATATGATGTTGAATATTTCCAATGAATTGATTCATATTGTGAAAAATATTTATAAACTAATTACAAGGCACTATCTGCATATTATATTAGTTCAAAATTCATTCCCCACAATAATTTCATTCTGAAGTAACAATTTTTCAGTTCCTAATATCAATTATTTTGTGTAGATCTAAGTCAGATAATATTAAATCTGCCTGAGTCAATCAATAAACACATTTGAACCACTTTATGATATCAATTCAATGTAAGCTTCATGAATTTCAAATGAAGTAAATCCCTGATATCAAGATATTCGTTGATATGACAACGTTGCACCACGAATAGTTCAGTGACTTCAACCTAACATTTTGAGAACCGGCAACCGTGACGCGCAAAGTTTAAAGGGACGAGGTCACGAAACACATGTGTCGGAACATCAAACAAAAGGGGCGGAGTGTCTCATCTGTAAGGTTTGTTAATCTCTGTGAAAGGGTAAGACCCCCGTCATTCCTTGCTCGCCACAAGTCTCGAAGACTTCTGAAGGTTGCTCGTACGGGGGCAACCGAATGATGGATAAGAACAATTTTTTTAGAACATTTTCTCATAAGCTGATGATGACATTGATAATTTTTAATGGAAATTCTTGGTCACAAGCTGTATCGAATGCAGAAAAAGCTATAAGAATAGTAAATAACAATCTTGATTTTGACTTGTTCTCTACATTTGGATAAAACAAAAATCATGACTTTTTTTGTTATGATGATTCAGAGCCACAATATATAACATAATTGACAATTCATGATCAGAGTTTGGTAATTAGTGGTTTGTTCATATTTTCATTATAAAATTCGTGTTTTTCAGACAAGAATACGTATATGAAAAAATTCCGCAGGTAGAAACGTACCTCCTCCATTTTGGGCATCACCATCGCCTGCCGGAATTTCTCCAGCAACGCCTCCCTAGGCGCCGGATCCTTTATCCGCACCGGCAACACCGTCGACTGCCTGACCGGCGTGTCGCCCGCATGTTTCGCGCGCACGTTCTTCTCGAGCATCTGCTCGACCATGGCGCCGCGCACGCGCCCCACCATCGTGTCAAAGGAGGCGACGAAGCGGTCAGTGGTGCCGCGCATCGCCTCGACGTCGCCCAACAGTCGGTCGACTTTCGAGTCGATCGCCGCCTCGATTTGGGAGCAGGCCACTGAGATGTGGCGCTGCAGGTCGGCGAGGCGGTCTTTCGTTATCTAAAATAGGTTTTAAAGTGAAAACTTCATTTTTCTACAAGCGTGCGTGATTCACCCTATACCCGCACGCATATTAGTTTGGAAGTGTCATTTTCCCGCAACATTGCGTGAAAATTTTTCCCACACTAGTGCGAGAAAAACAAAAATATGACAGTATGGCAAAATATACGTCGTAGGTGATGGAATATAAGAGTTTGAGTTTGTTTGTTGCAGTATCAAGTATGAATGTTCAGAATCATCCATCAAATTGCACTATTTATTGTGAAAATTGAGAAATATTGAAAAATAAAAATTGATTATTATAAAAATCCCCCTATAGATTTGGATTGGTCTGATGGGAAACGATTATTGTTGTCATGCCAATCAAACCTCAAATGAGTTTGTAATTGTCGAAGTGACAGACACAGCGTTACTGTTATTTTCGATTCAGTGGAGTGGAATTGCCATAATGTGATCAAAAACTTCCAGCATACAGATGCGTTATTGCCAACGAAGTCTTAAGAAAGGTATGAGAAGCTATACACGCGTATTATTGAATGGTGCAAGAATAAAGAAATGAAAATACCGAATAAAGAAGAAGTATTTTTGGCCCATTTCATAGAAGTGTCTGAAACCTGGAGACTAAAAACCTCATGGGCCTGCTGGCTCCCGCAATGAACCTATACATAATGCGTCAAACTGTAAGTTCACAATAGCTATTACTAATAATCAGTAGATAGAGAATATATTTCTCTTGTTAGTTGTTCCTATATGAATGAATAATTAATTGAACAAATCGATCAATTTCCTACGCTTGTAGAAAAAATATTGTTCCTAACTCATGCGGAAAGTGTCTTTCCCGCACTCGACTGCTTGCCCGAACTCCGCTTCGCGTCGTTCGTGTCAACGGCAGTCGCGTGCGGGAAAGAATCACTTTCCTCACTTGTTAGGAAAATTACTATTAGGCGCTTTCAGCTCTTTTTGTGGATGAGCAAAAACATTTGATTTCGCTTCACTTAAACCGAACGCTATCCATGATATAATCTGAGATGCGCAAACGATGAACAGAGAGGGTTAGTGTGCAACAAAGATCCACTACGCGCTTTTATTGGGCAGTACATTCGGAAGAGGAATTTCAATCCTTTTTGCAAGTAGAATATAATAATTACTAGAGATACTTGTGAATGAATCGATAGTTACATAATATAGTAATTTCCTTTCTACCAGATTGAATGTTTCATATTGTAATCCTATTCAAAAGTCATTTGGAAGTGATAGTTCAAGAATAATAACCGAGATTATAACATCGATTGTAATTCCGTAAGGCAATTTAAGGAATACGTAAATCACACTATTGTTGATGGTTTTTTCAATTCCTCCACTCGCAGACGGTCCACATCGCGACATTCCACAGATTTAGATACTTTTCTGACAACGCAAGATTGAAAAAAAAATACATAAACGTCATCAAAGTGATACTATTTTTCCGGAAATATTCGGCGATTGAAAAAAAGACAAACAGTTTATTTACAACGCTTCACGAAAAGATGTCATTTTTTAATAAAATACCTTCAGCAAAAACCTGATTTCCGTTGCAAGTGAGAGAAATACTCAAAACGTTATGTTTCGTCTCTAGTGATATGAGTTGAATAAGTTACATTTTGTTACCTGTCAACAGAGATAAAATGTCAATATTTTTTTCCGTCACAGAAAAATATTATCATGATATGATTGAGTGCCGTTGAATGTTTTATGCCGCGCATCGCCTCGACGTCGCCCAACAGCCGGTCGAGTTTTGAGTCGATCGCCGCCTCGATTTGAAAGCAGATCGACGAGATGTGGCTGTTCAGGCCCGCGAGGCGGTCTTTCGTTATCTTCAATAATTCAATTAACTTTATCATTTCCAAGAAACAACATTTATTTATATCAGGGAACATAGTGAATATACAAATATATTCAAAAAATAAAGAAGACAGTAAAATGAGACTCACACTCAAGAAGAATTTTTTTTTTTCAAGTTCATCTGAAAATGATTCTCAATGGGAGACTTCGCTCCAAGTTGCCAACCTAAAAACATCTACCAATGTCCAAGCAACATTATGGAAGTTTTATTACTCAATTGGCTTCATTTAGATGAACTCTGACTGTGGGAATACATTCAGCTCACTAATAAAAGTTATTCAGTAGAAAAACTGATTTTTGTGAAAATTTTTGAAAATTATGATGATACACCTGCTTTCATTCTGACAGATGTCATATCGTCGTCAATTTTATTACTTGTTACATTTTTGTTACATATTTCATTAGATCATTTTATTTATGGACAACACTATCATTCATCATTTGTTGGTAAAGAAGTTCGATCGTTGCAGTAGGAAGTAGGAATATATTTCATTTGAGTGCTAAAATGGATCCAGACATAACTTCGTAAGGATGAAACAAAGTTTCAACCTCTTCCTGGGACCCTATGTTTGAGTTCACTCGACTCAATATCACATGCGATTTTTGCACTTTATCGAAGGATACCTCAAAAATGGTATGTTCGAATATCACCAGCGATAATTATCGACCATAAAACAACGAGCGGATATTTAGCATGCGATAAGAATTATCGATTGGATTGACATAAATCCTAACCTCAAATACCTCAATTCACTTCTTTCCATTGCATCCAACTTTCCTTCCCACCAGCCATTCAATGTGGTTGCAATGTTCAACCATTTCTTTTGGCCATCTTTTTTTGAGAAACTTGTGGAGGACCGACCACTACATAATGCTGGTCGATCATAAATAATTTGTTTTTTGATCCGCGGAGACATAACCGGCATGTTTCTCCTTCGTTTCATTCATACTCATTATTATTATAGAAGATTTTAGAATATTCTTTCAACAATCTTCACAACAACAAGTTCAAATTGAAAGATTTGAAAGCAGAGAACACTGACAGTGAGTTGACAATGTGAAGAGTCAAGTTTAGTCAAGTCATATGATTTAGATACCTTTCAGCTATTGTTTGAATTCGTGACCAAAGCTAAGATATCCCTCACACCCTTCGAAACCAACAAACTCTTTATCGCATTCGGTTCGGGATAGCAGATCGCACGAAAAGAGTATCGCATGTGAATTTTTCGTGATGCAAATATCACGTTCGAAATTTATCACGCGAACTCAAACATACGGTCCCAGAAGTGAAAAATTACCCAATGAGGTGTCTGAGTTGATGAAACTATAACTGTGTGGAAACGAAGAACTCGCAGTCGATATCGAAATCAATATGTATTAATAAGCATTGTCCTAGTAACAAAATAACAATAAAGAAATGAAATCATTCAATGAATACTTTCAAATCTTACACGGCTCGCCTTGGATAGAAACTGGTCATAGTTTCCAGTGATAGAGATACATATCACAAATGTCGGAATACAGCAATATAAAAATAACATACCTTTTTCTACTCACATAACTAAAATGGCATTTAGCGTACGGATATGTAGGTACCACGCTAAATGATCGATTAATCACGGATTGTCGATCTGTGATTTATTCAAAATATTAAACACGTTACCATGGCAACAAGATTTCTTAAACACATTACCATGGCATCGCAGTTCATCAAACACAGCTTCAGTAATTTGAGACATGTCTGGCCAGTCAATTGTATTAACTGTCAACTGTTATTTTTTAATTTTGTATCATAATTATTCAAACAATATTCGTTTGTATCAGAATTCTTCATTAAAAATATATGCGAAAAGTAGACGGAAGTGAAATCAAAGAGAATGTTCTGGTACTTGCATATAACAATTTATTTATTCTGCGCTAAGCATGACAATAAACGTGAAACACGTGAAACAAAGGTTAGTAAGCAATGGACTGGACACATGTAGTTGCATGTATTATGTTCTCAATTCCCATTTTTTTCGAATTATTTTGTAGGTTAGCAGGAATCGCAGGTATGTTGATATAATTTTCGGAGTTTGTATAAAAATCATAGTATGTAAAGCGTTTATAAACTCTTCTAGACACTCGTTTATTAAACACTCGCTCTGCTCTGCTCCGCTCGTGCTTAAACTACTCGTTACTAAAAGGACGTTTATAACACTTGTTACATAATATACTATTATTCAAATAATAAGACACAGATAGTTTAATAGTAGCTGAAATCAGAAGACTATTCGAACATCACAATATTTATTTATATATAGCATGAGATATTATGGGTAGTGATGTTATATAAATGACAAACAATGAATATAAAGACCTAATAACAATGTTATGTTGATTACCGCATTACGACGAGTCGAGAGTAGCCCCAGATCAGATAACTCACATCCAGTTTATTATAAGATTGCACGTTTCTCATGAGAGTTTCTTGATCATTATTCAAAGATCGAAAGTGATTCGAACTTACTGATAAAGTGATTCATTGATATCATTCATTTTTTACTCGTGACAATACTGACACTATTGAAAGTATTGACATTTCAGTATTAACGACCGCAGATGCACCTACACGATTTTCAATCAGTCAGATGTGAAGTTCACAAAAACTAATTTTCCTTCTGAATAACTTTCATAAGAAAGCTGACTTGACTCCTACCATCAGATTCCACCAAAATAAAGCTAATTGAGTTATCAAACTTCCATAATATTGCTTCTACAGTGGTAGAGGTTTTTAGGTTGGCAACTTGGAGCGAAGTCCCCCATTGACTTAGCCGTTAGGTACTTGATGAAAATCTATAGAAATTGTAACAAAAAAATGAGATGTCAATATTCAGGAGAAGATATTCCTTCAATTCTTTTTTCGAATTTTCCAATCCTATTAGTCACCTTCACCATAATCACAATTGGTAGTGAATTGTGTTGGCGAAGGTAAGACAGGGAGAATTAAGTGGGAAAAGAAGAGAAAAAGGGGGAATAATAAACAACTTGAGCAAAATATACATACGTTCTGATGGGTTTCATCCAAATTGATGGAAATTTGATGCAGCTTCTGATGGAACTCCTGAACTGTACAAAGCACATCTCTGACTTCGATGCCCTGAATTTCTTCCATATTCGGTACCATTTCCGCAGAATCCTTGAACTATAAAACAAGAAAAACCCCAGATATTGAATGGTTCGATCAACTTTTACTTTCAATTAGGTCAAAATGCAAATTGATATCTTGGATTCGATCTGGAAGTTGCGAGTCGAAATTCCGAGTTAAATTACTAATTATTCGAAGTGTGGGTAAGACGTTTCAAATTTGTAGCCTGATTTAAAAGATGTAATCTAGAATTATGAATCAAGTACTCAATATTCAAGTTCATATATTTCCAAGAGTGCGCACCTACTAACTGCGACCCTCATAAAACCTTCAATTATATACACTAACAAGATGATCCATCTGTCTGCAAGTTGCTGAACTACCTAGGAATGTTATTCTTTTTGAAGCAGCAAAATCATTTCTTGCATAAAATTTCGGATATATTCTGCATTACCCTTGAATAACGATCTCTGCCTCTCGCTACTCAACAAAAAGTAGTTCACCTTGTCATTCATACATACAGCCACCTACTGAATAGAATGTATGGCTTCAATGCTAACATAATAAGGAACCCTCGGGGCTCACAACTTGTGAGTACGGGAATGGTGAACCCGAGGTACTCTAGCCGGATATTCACCAAACCTCAACTTGTCTTAGGTGATATCCTCTTCTCTCTTCCTTTTACAATCTATCCTATGGGCCTTCCTTGGCCAACTCCTCTTTTCCTCTTCCTTTCCAAGCTCAAAATCACTATCAAGTGATGTGGGAACGACAGACCGCGGCCGCTGGACAGATGAAGCATTTCGGGACCATCTTTGCTATCTACGGGCCAGATGGGATAATTATTTGAGGACATCTGTGGTGAGGATGAGGCGATTTGCTGATATCTGTCTAGGTGGCCAAGGACTGGTAAACAAGGCTCTGGCAACCTAATCCAAGCTGTGGGAACCCGTGGCGATGGATGATGAAACAGGGCGACATATCAGAGTAAACAGCCTTAGAACAAGGGACACCACAAGGCTGGACCAACCCCTTCCCACGTCACTCATAGAAAAAGAAAAACTTTTGTCCTTCTTCGTAGACGAGAACAGGGATCGGAAGAGTAATCTTCAGGAACCTGAACGAAAAGGGTATTTCATATTGAAGTTTTTTTTATTTTTTTATGTTCTGGTTCCCACGAAAAGGGATATCCTGTGATGTTCAGAGAACATCGTGAGAACCAAGGGAAAACGGGTAGGAATTGGTGTTCTTCTTAAATTTCTGGAGGTTATATGCCTCGGGGAACACCTCCCTTGGCAATGTGTTCCATAGACTCGCTGTTCGTTGGATGAACGAGTCTTTGGAAAAAGATGTTCTGCAGGTCTCCAAAGTGACCACAAAGGGGTGCGAAGCCTCATCTCGACGGGTTGATCTCGCGGGGACTGCCAAGGGAGAAACTATTATTGATATTTCAGAAGAGCATCGTCCATGAAAATAACCACAAAATAGAGCCAGATCGCCAACTTTTCTACGGTGTTCCAGAGAAGTGAGTGAGTTTGTGAGCGAGGCATCACCCACGAAACGAATTGTCCTTTTTTCGACAGAATCCAACAGTTTCAGGGTATGTTTGGGTGCTGCACTCCACATATGGGAACAGTATTCCAGGACAGGTCGGATCTGTGCCTAACAGATCATAAGCAGCGGACTGGAAGTGAAATAGCTCCTGACCCGAAACAGAAAACCAAGTTTTTGGGATGCACTTTTAGCAATTGATCTCACGAGATTTTCCCAAGAAAAGTTATTACTGATAGTAATACCATGCATCGAAATCGATGTCTTCAAAAGGTATGGTTACTCCTGACAAGCATGTTGGGCACAGTGAGATCGGCTTTTCTAGAGAAAATGTATGCTTTTTTATTGCATTGAAAGGACCCCGCACGAAAACACGGGAAATTGGCTCTCGGTCGAATTGGCTGAAATTTGACTATGTTGTTGTGGGATGGCTCATTAGAAATATAAGTGAGTTTAAAAAGTTTTGTATGTTTAGTTTCTGAGATATAAGCCGACAAAGTTCGTAAAAACGTCGCATCGGGGTAGGATTGACAAAGAAAAAAACTGTTTTTTTAGTATAGGTAAATGAAACAAAATAAGCTAGAAAATGTATTGATCCGAACTCATAAACATGTCTAGTTATAATCACATGAATTAAAGTAAATCAGGGTGTATACGAGGCATGGTCAAAAAATTCATTTTTCGGAAAAAAAATTCGAGCACTATTCCAAAACCAACAAGTTATATTTTGGTGGGATATTATAGTTCCAGTCTATTGTAGGCTTTGAAAACGTATTTTGATTCTTGATAACTATCTCTGTTCGAAATATGAATTTTTAGAATTTTATGTTATACCTCTTATGATAACAATTGAAAGCTAGTTTTTGATCACAAAGAAAGGAATTGATTGATACTGTTGATTGAATGAAAGCTGAGGAAACTTACTAGCGAATTCAGTTGGTCAATATTGCCTTTCATTTAGATACAGGGTGTGTTAGATTTTGTTGAAGAGTAATTAACATGTTGAATATCTCGAAAACAGTTCCGTTAATTTGGATCTCATTTTACAAACACTATTTTGAATATGTTGACTATCATATGCAAAAAGTTTTTCAATTTTTTTATGTTTCGTTTCTGAGATATGCATTTTTGAGTTTACAGTATTACAAGTATTATAGGGTTATTACCTCGGATATTACTCAAAAATTGATATCTCAGAAACGAAACATGAAAAATTGAAAAACTTCTTGCATATGATAGTCAACATATTCAAAATAGTGTGTGTAAAATGAGATCCAAATTAACGCAACTGTTTTCGAGATATTCAATTGAAACATGTTGAATAACCTTCAACAAAATCTAACACACTCTGTATCTAAATGGAAGGCAATATTGAATAACTGAATTCGCTAGTGAGTTACCTAAGCTTTCATTCAATCAACAGTATCAATCAATACCTTTCTTTGTGATCAAAAACAAGCTGTCAATTTGTTTCAAAAGGGGGTATAACACAAAAATCAAAGAATTCATAATATTTCGAACAGAGATAGTTATCAAGAATCAAAATACGTTTCCGAAGCCTACAATAGACTAAAACTATAATGTCTCACCAAAATATAACTTGTTGGTTCTGGAATAGTACTCGAATTTTTTTTTCCGAAAAATTAATTTTTTGACCGTGCCTCGTATACACCCTGATTTACTATAATTCATGTGATCATAACCAGACATGTATTTGAGCTCCGATCTATACATTTTCTAGCTTATTTTGTCTTATTTATACTAAAAAAACAGTTTTTTTCTTCGCCAATCCTACCCCGAAACGACGTTTTTACGAACTTTGTAGGCTTATATCTCAGAAACTAAACATACAAAACTTTTCAAACTCACATATTTTTCTAATGAGCCATCCCACAGCCAATTCGACCGAGAGCCAATTTACCGTGTTTTCGTGCGGGGTCCTTTACCAAGTTATTGGATCCCCATTCGAGAATTGTTGAAAAGTCCATATTTATGTTGTCAACATTTCTTCCTCGTTCGTTTCTGATTTGCCTGGCTGGTATAGAAGCCCTAGAAGGGAAGGCGGCAGCGGTAGCTAGCAGAGAACATAGCTGGGGAGGCAAGCCATAAGATGGAAGCTTGGCGAGGAGTCTGTGGTGCCAGACTCGATCGAATGCCTTGGAGATTTCAAGTGCCACGGCTATGGTTTCACCATATTTTTCAATAGATTGCTGTCATCGGTGGAATTCCGTCGGAGCCACAAGCTTTGTTGGTGTTGAGACCCAATAAAATCTTCCTTATAGTACGTTGGCCCTCAACGGCATATATATAGGTAAGATACAATGGGCCACTGGGCCTAAGGCCCGTATTTATAGTCGCTCCCTAAGGTGACCTCGTCCCTTGAGGCACCCTTAAGGACCAGTTTTCAATTTATAGTCGTAATATGAGCTGAAAGGAAGCCTTAAGGAAATGTCAATTCCAAGGAAGGTAATGAGGTACCTTGAACATTCCTTGATCCAATTTCAAGTATTATTTCAGGCTATGTTATGATTTCCATGAATGGGATGATGAAATTGAATGTAGCAATCAAATGAATATGCAAGTCTTGAAATTTGTACAGAGAATCTGATTCGAGTATATCGATTTCCAGTAAAAGCTGATTCAAGATAAGTTGAAAGTATTTAAATCTGTTTTTATTTCAAATCAGGTATATATTACAAATAATGAAAACTCAGCAAATTTACAATTATTACTTTTCAATACTCATATTAATCAAAACAAGGAGAAAATCCCAAATAATCAATTGAAATGAGGATACATTTTCAATGAACAACCACACAAAATCACAAATTCATTCGAAGTATTCAACCAAATGGATATTTGTCCTCTCCGTGGCATATTATTCCATCGCAGCTTGAAAGAATCCGTTTTTAATAGAGTAATTATTTTTGTATTGTAAATTTCCAACATCGTCATTGATATAAACTTTTCGACCCTCTCTTCATTTTGCGGAACCTTGCAAATATTTTGTCTGTGATCGAAGTAATACATTGTTAGGCCCAATTTGAACCAACCTTTCAAGATTCAAGAGTATTACTGGATTATTATCTTTCGATGTCCATACTCAATAGTAAACGTTGTCAAATTCGACATTTTACATTTTGACAAACAAGTGACATAAAACGACAAATGTGGTCACAGAATACTGAAATTATACACTGTTGCCAAGTGTAAGGGCTCCTTTTAGAAGGAATACTCAAGGGACGTCTATAAAACAAGTTTAACGTCAAGTACTGAGGAGTCCTCAAGGAATCCTCAGATAAGGAAGACTTGAGAAGTTCTTGAGGAAACGACTATAAATACGGGCCTATGTGTCGTCGGAGACTTCAGTCAAACGGGGTGGAGTGTTTACTGGGTATACCCTGGAGTCAGGGGACTCCCGCACTATCAAATGGGGGATTAGACCCAAATGATGTCCATAAAGGATTTCAACCACCTCGACGAAAAAACAAACATAATAAAGATGGTTCATCTTGTTAGTGCAAATAATCGATGACGAAACTCACCGACTTGATGGACTCGAGCGCGAGCCGCTCCAACCCGCTCATCGTCTCCAACATCCGCCGATTCGCGCTTTCCTCCGCTTCCGAAACGTTCTCTCTCAACCGCTCCACTTGCTCCAAAATGACGTCATTCTCCTCTAACCGCCGCTTCGTCGCCGCCACCAGAAACTCCAGCTGCCGCAGACTCTCCTCGTCCTGAAGTTTTCTGTCGTTGATGGTTTTTTTCACGGAATCGAGTTCGTCGCGGGTCTTTCGATTGGTCTCGCTCAGGGCGGTTTTGAAAGTGTCGTTGGAGCTTTTCAACATGCTGGTGGCTGCTCCAAAGATCTAGAATCGATTGTCTTTATTACCCAAGAAACAGTAATTATAATAGGGTTATACAGGGAGGTTTTTAATGCAAGTCAAAATAATACTATTTCCCTATAAACATGTGACCGCAAACGTTTCTTTACCGATCTACTGAACGTTAAATATGCCGAATTACTGTAAGAATCTACAGATATATTTTTCGTCTTTCTCCCGCAACTGCTGCTTTGTCGCAGATACGCTGCCGCAAACTTTTTTCGTTCTGGTTTTTTTTTTCACAGAACCGAGTTCGTAACGGGTTTTCCGGTTTTCTAAATAAAAAATAAAATGAAATGTTCCTTCATAATTTCAACTTTCAACTTATAACCTCATCATACACAATTTATTTTCTCATGAAAGACTGTCGCGATGATCCATTTTCAATTGAAATTTTAAAAATTTCAAACTCAGCAGATTTTACAGAATAAATTAGTACCTACTAGTTTATTCACACAAGTAAATCGCGCTACAAGATTTTATGATCATATGAATTGTGTATAATGATGTTATAAGTTGATAGTTAAAATTATATATATATATATATATATATGATTTTTTTTTACTTTTAATTTTTTATAAAAATTACATTTCATCTCATATAAATATAAATACATTTTCTTGAAATTTACAATGGAATAACATGAATAATCAGACATTCATATCTGGTATGAGATTATTCATGCGTTATGAAATTTAAGTTATTGAAATAAACAACAGATACAAAAATAATTATAATAAAAAACAAAAATCTCATAAAAAGTACATTATGACGTGATGAAATAAATTAGTGAATGAAGGTTTGGTTTTCTCTTTGAAAGAGGATATGCTTGTTGACTTCAATTTTGAATTGGGTGATATTTGTGCACCTTTTGATACCATCAGGTAATTCATCGAATTTTGAGATAGCTCCGTGAGTAAACTTTCTTCAGTCTAGTATGATGTTCATGGATTTGAGAATTCCTTACCAATATAAAGTTAGATTTGAAGTGTTTGTTGATATTATGAGATTTGAGAGTATTGATCAGATAGTGCTCTCCCAAAGAAAATGTATTTGTTTTTTCATAAAGTATTTGCTATATTTGGGATAAGTTTTGGAAATCTTCTTAGGGCACCAACTATGGGAGAATTATTTTCTTTGAGCATGCTAATATGCTTGTCCCATGTTAACTTTTCATCAATCCAAATACCAAGGTATTTGGTATAGGCAGTTTGTTTCAATCTTTCATTTTTTATTCCAATATTCAAATCAATATTTTGATTATTTCTTTGATGAAAAGTCATATTGTGTCTTATTAGAATTAAGAGTAAGACGATCGGAGTAAAGCCATTCTGGGTATGATTCGTATCAGCTTCATTGAAATTCAAATTTGATTTTCTTTTCTTTGGATGTACGATACATTGATATTCATCATACAGGACGTGGAAAGAAATTCTGAATCGAGAAAACCTAATCACGAATCCGCGATTGAGGTATATAAAAGTAACAAGTTTCCATCGTTCAAGTTTGAACCCCTTGATTGGGTGAAAGTATTGAAAAGGAATATTCTCAGATAGTATTATGAATATAAGGAAATGGATGTATTCTGTTGAATAAACCGAGAAAGAATTGATATTTTCATCACATAGACTCATAGAGAATGCGAATTCTCAATGTATTTCTTTATATATTTTTTATGTTCATAATTATATCTGGGAATATTCCTTTTCAATTGATTTTCTCAATGGTTTTTAATGAATAAAAATAAAACTACAAATTTAGAATTATTGTGTACTGAAACTAAATTTAGTGAATTTTTAGGAATGTATAGACAGACGGTTGGTTCTAAGAAATTGATTGAAAATGCACTCTAATAAGATTCGAAAAAAAATTATGAGAAAAAACCTTTATCAAAGCCATGTGCAAAAAAGCAGGTTAACAACTGAAAATTGTTGTCAGCCGAAAATCAATGCTGAACGAGATAATCACAATTGATATCGACTGAATAACCAAAAATACATTAGCGTGGTTGAACATCAAGGAAATTCGAGAAACAAAATTTGAAAAAAAAGACTTAACCTTGAGTTTTAGCAGACGTCCGCCACAAAACATAAGTCAAAACCAGGAGAAGGAATTGACAAAATAATAAGTTTGACAAAGACAAAAAACAAAGGTATTTAATCTACAAACAAAAACTTCTTATAAAAATGTTGCACCACTTGAAAGAAAAATGGATGGTTTCTACGACTTCTTCTCATTTTTCTCCGGTATCCTTCAATTTATAAATTTTTGAAGGGAACAGCTTAAACCATCTTCAATCCTCGTCTTGTCGCTAACAAAACATTATCAGAACAATGACTCTTCAAAATTCAACAACTATGATGTCAAAAAATACAACGGTCAACTCGACTCTACTTACTCCTAATTGTTTTTCATCTGGTTTGGAAGTTGAGGGGGTTATTTTGCCTTACACCTTATAAACATTATAAAAAAATGTGGTATAATATAACATTATGATATAAAATATTTGTTCAATAATTTTTGATGAAATTCAATTCTTCATACACTTTCCGACTTTATTAAACAACATTATGTAATTTGTGAAAAGAATGACCTGGACTTTTTTCATAAACGTCCGAATAATAGTAGGGAACTACTAGGAATGCACAAATTTGCAGCCAGTAATATCAAGTTTTGCAGTGGAGGAAATGTGTTTTGCGGAGAGAGCTAAAATACAACAATTTTCAACTAGTGCTTGAGCCCGAACGGTTCATCTAGTAAAATGAACTTAATGATAAAATTTGAAGGATATTTTATTTACTTTTCATTCTGAATAGAAAGGTTATTAGAGAAAACATGAGTTTACCAGTTATGAGCAAAAAACCGCCAGAGAATCATATTTTTCAACTTCTTGGAGATTTTCTTCAATGTTGCATTAGACATTTTGTTAGCAAACCTCAGATTCGGATTCAGTACCCCGAAATACGTTTGGAATGATAGAAATCAGAATTGACCCAAAACTGTCCTCATAAAAATACAATTTCACTGGATGGAAAGCAATATAACGATATCCCGTATTCCCATCACCCTATAGAACATACCAGTGACGGCTCGTCAGGGACGGCAAGGTCGGCCGGGCCGTACCAGAAAATATGAGGAAAAAAGCTGAACTATTTGATGAATTAAATCATTATTCGAAACTGTTTTCTATATTCATCGTTTTTTATACTACTATTATGCCTTCCGAATATACACCAAGAATCACGAAATAACTCGGGACCTACGACATCTGTTGTTGAAATTCTCGCGTATACACGTCATACACTGGTACAGCCGAGCATGGCTTGTCGAACGTACAGTCGTCTTCAGAGAACATGTCGCACATGGACGGTGTCAGCTCTCTTAATCACCGCTGTAATAAGAGCGCTCATACCGTCCAACCGCGACATGATCACTGATGAAGATGAGTGTACCTACCAGCCGCTAGAGTGCTGTGCCCCGTATACCGACCTAATTAATATACGGATTGTCATTCTATTTTCGTTTTATCAATACATTGTATTTACAATTATTATTTCTGTATTTGTACCAACTGAAAGAAGAAATAAATTTCCAATAGGAATACGAAAATGAAATGAAGACTTGATGTTTTTCGAATTCGCAATTTTTCACTAATTACTAATTCAGAGTTCATCAACAAAAGATATAGCTTTGATTCTAATCATTTTGGTTTCAAGAAAACAGTGTTACACCAGCAGCATATTACAAGTGATAGAATCAATCCAGGAAGGACTTGATTCAGGACATTATGTGGTAGCTGTTTTCATTGATCTCAAAAAGGCTTTTGACACAGTTGGTCATACATCACTTTTAGAAAACTTGGAAACAATGGGACTCAGAGGCACTGTAAGAAATGTTTTGAATTCATACCTTGAAAATAGGACAATCAATACGATATTAACCAACTCTATGTCAAATAAACTATTAATTAATAAGAGTGTTCCACAAGGTTCTGTTTTAGGGCCCATAATATATTTACTTTATGTTCAAAATATTAATAAAATTGCCCTATCCAGTGAATATACCATTTATGCAGATGATACAGTACTTTTATATGAAAGCAAGAATCCTTCAAATTCAGAAAATATGATAAATGAAGAAAATAAACAAAAAATTTACCTCAATCTTGAAATAAAAAATGAACTCTTGAAACAAACTGACTAGATAAAATATCTTGGTATTTGGTTTGATGACAGGTTGAAGTGGAACAAATATATTGTTGTTTTGACAAATAAAATATCTCCAATTATTGGTGCATTGAGAAGATGTCCCAAACTTGACATTGAAGTTGCAAACATGATTCTCTACTCTCATATGCTGTGTCGTATTAACTATTCAATAAATGTTTGGGGATCTTGTTCAAAAAATAATTTCAATAAAATATCAACAATATATAGAAAATCGCTAAAACTACTCTATGGTCTCCCATTTGATACACCAACCAATGAATTGTTTGCAATAACAAATACGTGTTCTTCAAATGAAATATATGAAATTGAAACTCTTAAAAATTCATATAATATCATAGATAAAATATTGAAGTCGAATATTATTTTGATACAGGAATCTGAAATTCATAATCATGAAACTAGACAGCGAGCTGGATAAAATTAGTCATGTTATTTTACTATGTTTTCCTACAAATATTATTCTTTGTTCACCAATTTATGAATGTTGATGTATTTTGAATGATGAAATGTATAGTTATAGGTATATAATTATGCCCAGTCATCTTCAGAAAACATGTCGCACATAAATGGTGTCAGTTCTCTCAATCATCGCTGCAATAAGGGCGCTCATACCGTCCAACCGCGCCATGTTCACTGAAGACGAGTGAACTTCCTTATACCAGAGCCTATTCTACCTGGAAGTTATTTGTTCAATGAATAAATAAACAAACATTTATCAAATATCAAAATCAGTACTGATTTACCTTCAGCGCTTCTGAGTGGCAATAATTCAAGTATAACTTGAATATTGTATATGTAATGTGACAAATATTATGGCAAAACAAATCTCAGCAGTCCAAGGGCCTAGTATTAAAACATCGTGAAAATAGCTCTGGCGATGAAAATGTATGGAACTTCTAGAATATTATTCATTTTCGAAGACGCATGTAGCGGTAATAAATAATATGTACTTTGCCACCACCCCGGAAAACATTTTAAGGACCCTTGACGATACACGGAGGTATGGCCGGCCGACCAGGATAAAGTGGAGTGGCTTGTTATTAAGTTGAGAATAGATTATTCAGGCATCAGATTCAGCAGAAAAAAATGTAAATAGTAATGGCTAGTCAATGGATGGTATTAAATGGATAAGAGTTCGGACACAGCTGAACTTTTGTCATTTTCTATTTTCTATAATACAATGGTTTGAGTGAATAAAAGAATATACATATATTCTGCTCTTTGTCTTTTCAACTTCCCTAGTAGCGCATGATTGTCAGATACGATTTTAGAGGTTACATTTTCGGTCAAATCAATCATAGCCGTAGATGGACAATGGAAATAGGGTATAAACACCCACTTTAAATTATAAAGATACACTTCTAGCAGAACGACTGTTATATAAATGAAAAGAATGCATGTAACAACATTTTAATATTAGAAAATATACTTACACATATGGATAAACTTATAGCTATAATTTCCTATTGTATGTGAAACCGTACTCCAGTGATAAGTATAAAACATGAAGATATTAATATTAAATTGAAGGTAGGTATTCTCAATATACAGGAAGTAACATAAGTACGTTCAAGTGAAGTATTCCTAAGAGAATTTTAAGAAATAAGGTATATGAACTTGTGTCCGGAAATGCTTTATTTCGGAGATACAGGGTGTTGAAATACAGAGAACAAATCATTTTTTGATGAACATTTCATAGGAACAGAAGTCGTTTATTTTGACGAGACCTACCACATACTTGGTTTTGCAAAGTACTCAGCAACTTCACTCATAGCCTGTGGTACCACAAGTATATTTAATAGCAAACGCTTTATTTATTGTTTTGATTGTCCACCTTTTCCTGCATTCATTTTTCACTGTTAAATTTTGAATTTGTTCGGTACCAAAAACGCCATTCAATAATATATCACGTTGTAGTTTACTTGCTTTTCTTATAGTACAATTCATTTCCATAACTGCGTTTTCCTGAAAAGTATAATTATGAAGTTTTATTTCAATTCGGACGTTTATACAATTTATTGTCAAATTCAAATTTTGAATGAAAAAGCGCGGGACGACTATGGTGCTCTTGTCACAATGCAAGGCGTGTAACTTGATGAATCTAAACATTCAAAAATCCTAACCGTTGTCATTTCTGTGTCCGAACTCTTATCAAACTAATACCATCCAGTGACTCTAGTAATGGCAAGGGTAAGGGAGGTTGTATGATCTGGTAAGCCAATTATTACCATTTCAATAAAAACAAAAATCAAGTTGACGAACTAGAGCAACATCTATCCTGGCAGACCCAGGTTCTGAGGGCATGAGCAGTCACTAGAACATACTTACGTTTTCAGTTTTCACCCTGTACTCGTCCGCCAATTTCGGCACCGACTTTCTGTAATACTCCACCCGTTTCTTGTACTGGTCGAAGACACCATTCAAGAGGGCCGCCTTTCCGTCGATCACTTCCAGATAATTCTTCGAATACTGTCCTATCATCTTTTGGGCCGAAAAATTATTCTTGCTGTTCTGCTGCACCCTGCTAGGAATTTCCCTCATTAACCCAGAAGATTGTCTCAACTCGTCCGTCAGACCGATCAGATACGTCCTAAACTGGTAGAATGGGAGAGATTATTAATAGAAGTGTAAATTTGGTTAACAAAGAATGAGCTTTGGCAATATGTTGTACTTATGTATTTTTGTACTCACTGAGATACATTTAAAAACTCACACAATTTCCTGACATATCTTGTCAGTGCCAAAAGGCGAAAGCAATAACCGCATCAGAAATCAATTCCCATTTCTATGTTGGAAACGGGAGAAGATTCGTTCCCAAAATGTCCAAAAGTGAGTGATATTATTTTTTTTTTCAAAACAACTATGTTTATTTACAACCATATATGTAATGTTGTCATTACTAACGTCATTGAAGGTTGGGAAGTGTCACATTACACACCTCTACTTCCTGCCATCACTTCCCGCCCCTCACTACTTCCCGCCCTCACTTATGTAATATTTTAGGTATGTTCAGGACGAAACAGATTTATTAATTTTGATCGAAATATGATGGTTGTAAATAAAATAGTATACAAACCTCGGTACAAAGTGTCATTCCTGTCTCGAAATTATAGCTAACCTCGACGCTTTGCATCTCGGTTAACTAACTTATCTCACGACAGGAATGAATCACTTTCCACCTCGGTGTGTAATATACTATTTTCTTCATTCCTACGTTTCTGAACCAAAGTACCACATTGATTAAAGTTTCCTATTTTATTTATTTATTTATTTATTGAAAAAATAACAGACAGAACAGGATTTGGCATAAGGAAGTACATAATTATATACCTATAGGTGAACATTTCATCATTCAAAATATATCAACAATTATAAATTGGCAAACAAAGAACAAACAACATGAATAATTTCATCCAGTTCGCTCAGAAATAATCAGTTTTCTTACTTTATTTTTATTTTTGAATGGACCGATATTTCTACAGTTTTTGATATTGAATGAGTGAATCTTGTTTGTCCAAGTATGGAGCTAGCGGCGTCAAGATGGAACAAGTTATATAGTCTTCATTTATCATATTCTCTGAATTTGAAGGATTCTTGCTTTCATATAAACTAGTACTGGTACTGGTGGGGGACGTTTCCACGTCAGCAACTAGTCCCCAATGGGACCTTTTTGCAAACCCCAAGTGTTTTCAATGACTGATGTGGTTCGCTCAAGAGAGCTGGCTATCATCCTTTTCAGGCACCGCCCATCAGCTTTCTTTTCAGAGTTTTTCAGCTGTGTTTTGTAGGCTAGTAATGTACTCACTACCATATGCGCAGTGGCAGGCCTGCTAACTATCATCGTTAACCCCCGAGACCGAGGTCTACTTAAGCAGCTGGCCCGCTCTCACGCTCAGCTGGTAGTTTTCCACACCCACCTAAATACACCGTCCTACTTCTTCTCTGATGCTCACAACCACATCATCATATCTTTCTGCGTGTTCTGTGTAGGCTTTGTTACTAACTCCATGCGCCACTTTAGGAGCAGCACTGTTAATTGGAACGCAACAGCGAATCGTGCTGCTTTCATATAAAAGTACTGTATCATCTGCATACATACTCGCTAGACCAATTTCACTGATATTCTGAACATAAAGTAAATATAGTATAGGTCCTAAAACAGAGCCTTGTGGAACACCCTTATTAATTAATAGTTCATTCGACACAGAGTTGGTTGATTTCGTATTGATTGTCCTATTTTCAAGGTATGAATTCAAAACATTTCTCACAGTGCCTCTGAGTCCCATTGTTTCCAAGTTTTATAAAAGTGTTGTATGATCAACTGTGTCAAAAGCCTTTGAGGTCAATGAAAACAGCTACCACATAATTTCCTGAATCAGGTTCTTTCTGGATTGATTCTACCACTGTTTTCTTGAAAACCAAATTGATTAGAATCAAAGCTATATTGTTTGTTGATGAACTCTACAGTAAGTTTCTATTTTTGGTTTTTCACACAGAAATCAGCGCTGAGTTTTGTGGTTTCTAATAGTGAAATTTTGAGCGTCATGACAGTTTGGGGCAAATTATCAGATTTTACCCTACTATAGTAAGTATATTGATATAATTTTTTTCTGTGACGGGAAAAACTTTGAAATTTCATCTCTGTTGACATGCCCACGAGAAAAAAGTGACTACTTTTTTCCCAGATATATATTTATTACACTGTTGATGACTTTTTTGTGCTAGTTCCCAAAAATAAGCAAATAACACCGTCTCCGAGAAAGTCCTTTTATCTTCCATTCGACATCGCGGATATGTAAATTACTAAACAACCACTAAATTCGCAATTTTTGGAAATCAAATCACAGATTACTTCGAAAGAGTGATGAAGATGCCTGCAACGCAGTCCTGTTAAAAACTTCAAATTTCACGTCGATAATTTTCTGATTTCAATACAATGTGATATTTTCTCAATATTGATTCATCCTTTTTCCTGTCAGAGAAAAAAATAGTGTATTATACAAGGAAAAATATTAGATTTTAACTCACGGTTTTTTGTCTGCCTCCGCTACGCGTCGGGAGACAACACAACCTGGAGCTACAATCTACTACTTTTTTTATCTTAAATAACTAGATAGATAGACAGTTTTATTTAACCACTTTATATTAATTACATAAACAGATCAAAAAGACACACATATTGTGTACAAATATTGTGTGCTGTAATAGTAACATCAAGGTACAGTCGTATTCAATAAAAAAGCGTACAAGTATTAAAAAGAGAGGATTTCGGGATCCTAGTTCTAGTTGTGTAAAACTGGCTCAGCCAATGCTTTGTGTTTTCGAGAACCTATGACAACTTTACTGTCAACATTTGGTGAACAATCATTCCGGATAGCCCGTTTTATGCAGAATAGGATGACGTTAATTTCTTCCTGTAATATACTTGTACGCTTTTTTTTTTAATGCGACTGTACAGGGTATCCCAATTTGGGCACTTTTGCGGGGTATCTCCCTTATCAGTAAAGATAGAGCATTGCGGTTTTCGCGACAGTGTTGTCCTTTTTTATGAAATTAATAATGGCGCAAGCAGAATTGTGATAGCTCTTCCGGTTGTCGAGATACAAGGTGGAATTGAAAAATATCACTTATCAGGCATCCCCCGTGTCACAGTTATCTTTGAACTTATCGAAGAAGTTAAAACTTGTTTTTATAGAGTTTTTCTCGTAGAATCCAGTGGCGTAGTTATTTTTTTGCTAGCACCTTTTGTTTTTTAGTTATGGAGCAAACATATGTTTTTTTAAATGGAAAATAATTGTATACAATTATATATTTTTGGAAAGCCCACTTCATGCTCAATGTATATATGAAATAATATACAGGGTGTTCCATTTAAAAAAACATATGTTTGCCCCATAACTAAAAAACAAAAGGTGCTAGTAAAAAAATAACTACGCCACTGGATTCTACGGGAAAAACTCAATAAGAACAAATTTTAACTTCTTCGATTAGTTCAAAGATAACTGAGACACGGGGGGTGCCTGAAAAGTGAACCGGAAGAGCTATCACAATTCTGCTTGCGCCATTATTAATTTCATAAAAAAGTAGCACACTGTCGCGAAAACCGCAATGCTCTATCTTTACTGATAAGGGAGATACCCCGCAAAAGTGCCCAAATTGGGATACCCTGTACATGTACATGATTCGAAAATTTTACATAAATACAAATCCTTAGAAATTTGGAAAGCGAAACCAGGTGAGTAAGATCGTATCAATACAACGCCCTGAAAAGGGTTTAGTTATAATTATTTATGGTTTATTGATGAGTTTGTGGAGTTGGGGAGAGTATCATGTGTTCATGGTTGTTAAATGGGAGGAATTCCTCAATTGAATAGAATGCAAGTGATAGTGAATGATTTTTCACCCATTTCTTGAATTTGATAAAATTCGAAGATTTTATAGACATATATTTATATAGGTATATAAATATACAAGGTGTTTGGTGCATCGGGTGCCAAATTGAAATGGTCGAATGAAGGGGTCATCTGCTATCCTTTAAGGTTAATTAACACCTTTTATGCCGTGTGGATTATTTTTAATCGTCTTTTTATCTGTTTATCAAAAAAATACCAAATTCCACATTCAACCACAAATTTTAATAAAATTATAAGGCGTAGACTCTGAATTCATTTTATTCAGATGTGTATTGTGTTAGGGTACTTTCAAATACAAAACTAGTGACATAAGTCATCCAGTTTTTTTTTAATTTACTCGCAAAGTTTCGGAATATGTTAAACTCAAACTGAAGCTGTGACTTCACATGGCTACAAAAAAAAACAAAAGCGATCAGAATCTTCCAACTCCCTCAATAGTTCTATGACCTATCCTCTTGCTAACGATGTGTCACATGTCATAAATAGCTTTCAATGACTTTGTAAATTCGCTATAAATGTCAATCAAGTCTCATAAGGCTGTTATTAAAAATGATCTGAAAAATAATTTTTGCGTAACTGTTAGTGCAGAAACAAGTAAAATTTATATTTCTTGCACAACGTAAATCTACTTGGAACAAATCACGAACTGCCACCGACCACATAATTTTTTAGTCGAGACATCACTGCCTCTGCTACCTAACGTGTTCATTTCATCGTACTCCGCGATTCTTTCAGTTTGTTCCTCTTGGTGTTATTGTTAAACTTTGTTGCCGTTCTTGTTGTTGCAATAGCGACATTCTTTAACGAAGAATATGCGGATATCATGATGGCTTAAGGAGCCGCACATGGAGTAGCGCGTGCAGCGCAACGAACTTACCAGGAACGCTTTCCTGGTAGACGATTACCTGGCCGAAGAGTCTTCCAAGACAACATACCGACGCTTACGCGAGGCTGGCAGTGTCACTTTTAATGAACAAAGGGGCCATAATTGTGCAACAATGTTGAAGTGGACGAGATGAAACTGGAACTTTTTGAGGAAGACCCTTCAAGAAGCATTCGAAATGTGGCAGCACTTCTTGATCTTTCAATATGGAAAGTGTGGAAAGTCTGTCAACAAAACGAAATTCATCCATTCCACTACACTCCGGTGCAAGGTAAGTATTTTAAACTAACTTTAAACCC